TGAAATATGAGTGCTTTCACGAAAAGGAGTATGGACAGCCGTGTAAGACACAGCCAGTACTGCTCCAGCTGTTTAGTTTCTTAAAGAAGCTAAGGTACTGGGCACCATTATCTGATGTTCCCCATTCAGTTCCCCAGTAGGGCACAGGCAGTAAAGCTATCTGCTGCCCAGAAATGCTTCTGGCAGAGCTGTCAGGAGCTGTATTAAAGCATGTGCCTCTGGTTCCTCTGCTGCATTCTTTTACCCAGCCTTGAAGCTATTAGGCCAGAAGTTTTATTTTTCTAGCCTCTCATATTTCATTACTCAAACATTACAAAATTGTTGTTAAAACTTGGTGTATTAAATGTCAACATAATTGAATGGCTTTATAGTACAGCCACAGTACTAACAATTATATCCTGTGCAATTACAAGAGTCAGGAATTTAAGGTTAAATAACCATTTCAAAAAACATTAAAAAATATGCATTTTTATTAACATACAGGGGAAACTATAGTAAAGAATTTAGTTTCAGAAACTTGCTGACCTCCCATTAGTATCTTAAATAAGAAGCTCAGAGTCCAAAAAAGAAATCGAACACTTGTTTACTGAAGTTAATTTTGTGGTGAGCAACTCTAATGGTTGTGTTCCTTCTGCTCTAGAACTATCGTGGCACTGGTATATAATGTGCTGAAAACCCTGATGGAAATGAATGGCAAGCTTTTTGATGAACTCACAAGCTCATACAAAGCAGAAAGGCAAAGGTACTGACTTTTCTTCAAAGTGCACATTGATGAATATATAGCCAGAATGTACTGGCTGAAAAGAAACAATGATGTAACTGTTGTGGCTGTGGGGTTCTGTAGTGGAACTGCTCACTGGGGACTTGCTGCTGGGCAGCCCTGGAGTTAAGAGGCACCCACGCAGGGTTGTGGTGGTGGTGGTGGTGTGGCAGGAGCTGAAGCCCCGGGGAGATGGCAGGAAGGCCTCAGCTCGCTGTCCTGCTTGCGCAGAAAGCACTTGCTCTCTGTGAGGTAAAACCGGGCTCAGCTGCTGATGTGAGGGGCTGCCTGGTGATGGTGCCGCAGCTTTAGGTGGTGGTGTCTGGAGAATACTTCGTAGCTCACCTAAAACTTCTCCTGTTGTACTAACAGTACTGTTGGAGTAAGAAAAGCAGGGCACAGAGCGTCCTAGGCCAGCTGAGACCATGTGCCAAGTCTCCTTTCAGTCATGGTGCTTTTCTCCCCCAAAGACACTTAGTCCCTTGATTTGTTTACATGTGGTAAGGAACCTCCTTAGAATTGCAGGTGTCTACAGCTGGTGTCTGAGTTTGTTGGAGCAAAGCTACAGTTTTACCACTGTCACCAATTTGTATGCTTGCTTTTTAATAGAGGAAACTATAATTGCCTCTAAAAATAGCTTCCAAGAGGAATTACTAGATGTAAATGAGAGTCATTAAGTAACTGCACTTAAAACACATCTGAAATGGATACTTTTTTTTTTCTACAGAGAGAAAAAGAAAGAGTTGGAACGTGAGGAGTTGTGGAGAAAGCTAGAGGAGTTAAAACTGAAGAAGGCTATGGCAGAAAAGCAGAACAGCACTCACACTGTGCTAAATGCACACAATGCAAGTGCCAAATAAAAGCAGTGACCCCCTCTACTTGGCAGACATACTTTTTTGTACCCTTTTGAAATATATAAGGATTTGCAAAAGAAACCTCATCAGTATAATAGAAACAGCCAATTTTTTCTCTGGCAAATGTAAAGATCTGAATTTAAATACAGCAGTTAAGCGATGTCATTACCACAACATATTGTAAATTTGTCTAATTATTGATATACTGTCACTTCCACTGTTTCATAGAACTGAATTATCATCTTTAATGAGTGAAATAATTATGGGAGTGGTGAGAATTATGACTTGAATTTTTGATTGTGTTGCACATAGGTGGTATAGTTTGCTATGTACATTTTTTTCCTTGTTTTATATGTGCTTTTCACATTGCTGCATACTTTGGTTAAGATGATAGAAAAGGCTTCTAGTTGTGCTGTATTTTCTCAAATAAAACCAAGGTATGTTACCAGTAACTTGAGATATTCAGTATGTGCCCCTTACAGCATTGCAAGGAACTCAGCTATGGTGCTGTCCTTGAATTCCTGATTGGATTCAGATTGAGATTTATATAACACATTAGTAAGAGGCAAAGTAGGGAGAGAAAGTCAGCTTGAAGAGGTGGGGGTGGTCTGTGTGTCTGACCTCCCATGGGGTGAGTGCCTCTACCCCATTCTTGCTGACTCTTGGTCCTTGGGCTCCTTAGAGATTTCCTCCTGCTACAGCTGAGGATGGAGCTTCCTCCAGAGAGCCCATCAATGATGCTCCTCATCAGCCCAAGGACTCCCTGCAGAGTGGTGCAGGTCTCTCAGATACTATCTATCTTATCTTGGATGTGTCTGCTGTTAGTTCTAGCATCTCATAGACGGAAGCATGAGACCAAAATTGGGATGATTTTTTTTGTTGTTGTTGTCAATAGTAAGGAGGGAAGGATGTCAGTAACTAGTTCCTTGTTTTATTTAAAGAAAATGCAGTCTGTTTCTTAAAGGTGGAAAGTTGACAATAGAAGTCTTGTCTGTTTACTTGATCAAGTATTTTTCACATCTTTTATCAGAGTACCATTCCAATCTCTTAAATTGCAGTTGTGTGGAAAACTTTTGTAATGAAAGATCTTTGGGGAATTGAGCAGCATTCAATAAAGTCTTTATGTTTGTATTTAGTGCTGTAATCACATCTTTGTGTTTATAAAGAGCAGGAGAATGAGAATGGCTTTTATGAACAACCTTTTAACTGTACATATGTCTGAATAACCTGGTGGCAAGTGTTAGAGGTGCAGGCTGCTGGGGGTTCATTTTTAGGAGTAGGGTGAGAGGCTTTCTTCTGCTCTGTGGTGGTCAAAGCAGCTGAGGCAGGTGGCCTGGGCTTGTTTTACCTATTGTGAGGTGCTTTTTACTGGTTTTATTCAAGCAGGGTGTGTGTGGGGGGGAAGTCTCTACTACCCTGTTTAAGTTGGCTTTATTACACTTTTATTGTGTGTCATTTTTTTGTCTCAGTAGTTGTGTTTCACAGAGGAAAGAGGAATAACTATTGGAAGTGTAAACCACTTCAGGCAGGTTCATCTGATCAAAAAAAACCAGCTGTTAAACAGTGGGGCCCAGCAAGCTCAGGAGGGAGATGACTTTAGTGCTTTTATTTTTAATAGAAAAATACCCCTCCCCCCTTTAAGATACAAAATATATTCAGCTGTCCTACAGTCTGAAGGAAATAAATTATACAGACAGTGGGGAATCTAACACTTACCTTGCAGTGGTACAAAGAACAAATTACTGGCAGTTGTAGTTATGACTTGTTCAAAAATTGACAAATATGGACATCAAAAGTAAGTAATAGAAAAGTCACCCTGTAGCTATAAGAGGCCATTTCAAACAAATTGTGCAACACTTGCTATTAGAGTCACTCCTATAAATAAGTATATAAAAGAAAGGTTTCTTGGCTGGAATCAGCAGGCTTGCTCTAGTAACAACATTTCCTTATAAAACAAATTGTGGTAGCTGAGATGTAGCGACTGAAGTTGACTACTATGGGAATTTATTTTTAAAAAAGTACATGAAATACTGAAAAAGAGTGCATCCTTTATTTAACTATTCTTCCTACTTACCCCCAGCACTGGGGCTGTCTTCTACCTTAACTTCTCTGACCTCATTAGCCAAAAAAAAAAAACAAACCAAAAAATGCAGTAGAATGCAAATTGTTATTTCTAAATCTTTTTGTAAAATCCAAGAAATAGCTGCTGTATTCTCATTTGTTAAGGGAACACTTGGGTGCAGCAGTAACTGGAAGTGAGTGTTAGGCTGTAACCCCTTCCTGCCTTCCCTTGCCTGGACACAGGAGAACCTGAGTGCTGCTGCTGTGTTTTTCTTATCACAGTGAATTGCTTCTCCCTTATTTAAGGCTGTGTTTGGTCCATGCAGTGCCTTGATTTGTTTTGGAAATCAGCTGGCAGTAGTAAATTGTTCCAAAATGCTGCTTTAGAAAGCAAAAAAAAAAGTTGATTACCACTATATTAATACTGTTCATAGAGGATGGAAGCAGCAAAATATGACTTAGCATGCTCCTTTCCTTGCAGCAGCACCTCTACAAGTCACAGTTGGGCATCTAGACTAATAAGGGACTTAAAAGGAAGGAAAAAAAAAAAAAGACTACCACAGCACAGTTAGTATGCATTGTCTGTGTAGTACAGAATCACAGTTAAACACCAAGCTGATGAAAGACTATTTTTTCCTACTTCCTTAGCAAAGGGTAAGGGAAAG